GATCAATGGAACAGAACAGAGAGCCCAGGAATATAAACATAGTTAACTGATCTTTGACAAAGGAGCAAAGACAATGCAATGGAGCAAAGATAATCTTTTTCAAAATGATGCTGGAACAACTGGACACTCGCATGCAAAACAAAAAAATGAAGAAATTATACCAATTCTTTACAGTCTCTTTCAGAGGACAGAAGCAGAGGGAATAGGTCCTAACTCATTCTATGAGGCTAGCATTACCCTAATACCAAGACTGGACAAAAGCACTATAAGAAAAGAAAACTACAGATCAATATCTCTCATGAACATAAATGCAAAATTCTTCAACAAAATATTAGCAAATGGAATCTAAGATGTATAAAAAAAATTATATACCATGACCAAGAGGGATTTATTACAGGTATGGAAGGCTACTTCAACATTTGAAAATCAATTAATTAATCTGTCATCAACAGACTAAAGAAGAAAAATCACATGATCGTATCAATAAGTCCAGAAAAAGCATTTGATAAAATCCAACACCCATTCATAATAAATACTCAGCAAACTAGGGATAGAGGGGAACTTCCTTAACTTGATAAGGAACATCTACAATAAACTTACTACTAACATCATAGTTAATGGTGAGAAACTCAAAACTTTCCTGCTAAAATCAGAACAAGGAAAGCATATCTGCTCTCACCAATGGTCATCAATATCATACTGGAAGTTCTAGCTAATGAAATAAGACAAGAAAAGGAAACAAAAAGTATACAGATTGGGCAGGAAGAAATAAAATTGTCCTTGTTTGCAAATGACATGATCATTTATGTAGAAAATCTGAAAAAAATCAACAAAGAAACTCTTGGAACTAATAAGCAATTATAGCAAGGTTGAAGGATACAAGGCTAATAAACAAAAGTCAATCATTTTCCTATATAGCATTAATGAATTAGGGGAATTTGAAATTAAAAACATATTACCATTTACATTAGCACTCCCCAAAATGAAATACTTAAGTATAAATGAAATGAAATATGTATAAGATCTATATGAAGAGGGCGCCTGGGTGGCTCAGTTGGTTGAGTGATTGCCTTCAGCTCAGGTCATGATCCCAGGGTCCTGGGATCGAGCCTCGCATCAGGCTCCCTGCTCGGCGGGAAGCCTGCTTCTCCCTCTCCCACTCCCCCTGCTTGTGTTCCCTCTCTCGCTGTGTCTCTCTCTGTCAAATAAATAAATAAAATCTTAAAAAAAAAAATTAAAAAAAAGATCTATATGAAGAAAACCACAAAACTCTGATGAAAGATAGCAAAGAACTAAATAAATGGAAAACTATTCCATGTTCGTGGATGGGTGGACTCAATATTGTTGAGATGTCAGTTCTTCCCAACTTGATCTATAGATTCAATGTAATTCCAATCAAAATTCCAGCAAGATATTTTGTCGATATTGACCAGCTGACTCCAAAGTTTATACAAAGAGGGGAAAGACCCAGAATAGCCAACTCAATATTAAAGGAGAAGAACAAAGTCAGAGGACTAACATTACCCTACTTTAAGACTTACTATAAAGCTACAATAATCAAGAGAGTATGCAATTGGCAAAAAAATGAATCTAGACACAGGTCTCATACCCTTCAAAAAATTAACTCAAAATGGATCACAGGGGTGTCTGGGTGGCTCAGTCGTTAAGCTTCTGCCTTCGGCTCAGGTCATGATCCCAGAGTCCTGGGATCGAGCCCTGCATCGGACTCCCTCCTCGGCCGGGAGCCTGCTTCTCTCTCTCCCACTCCCCCTGCTTGTGTTCTCTCTCTCACTGTGTTCTTTAAAAAAAAAAAGAAATTAAAAATAGAATTACCATACAATCCAGTGATCCCACTTCTGAGTATTTATCCAAAGAAAACAAAATCACTATCTCAAAGAATTATCTGCATTCCCTTGTTCACTGCAGCATTATTCACAAAAGCCAAGATATGGAAACAACCTTAGTGCTTGTCAATGGATGAATGGATAAATGAAATATGCCGTGTATATATGTATGTATGTATGTATGTATGTATATAATGCAACATTATTTATCCTTTAAAAAAGAAGGAAATTTTTCCATTTGTGACAACATGGATGACCCTGGAGGGCATTATGCTAAGTGAAATAAACCAGAGAGAGAAAGACAAATACTGCATGGTATCACTTATATGTGGAATCTTAAAAAAAAAAAAAATGAACATAGAGAAACAGAAACAGAGTAGAATGGTGGTTGCCAGGGCCTGGGGCAGGGGATGGGAAAGTTGATAAAGGAATATCAATTTTCAGTTATAACATGACTAAGTTCTGAGGATTTAACATACGGTATGGTGACTGTAGTTAACGATACTGTATTGTATAACTGCAATTTGCTAAGAGAGATCTTAAGTGTTCTCACCACATATACACATACACACACACACACACACACAAAGTGTGTTTCTTACAGAAAAGTTTCTTACAAAACTAAACATACTATATGATCCAGCAATTGCACTCATTGGCATTTACCCAAATGAACTGAAAACATGTCCACACAAAACCCTGCACATGGATGTTTATTCATAACTGCCAAAACTTGGAAGCAACCAAGATGTCTTTTAGTAGGTGAATGGATAAATAAACTGTGGTACATATGATGGAATATTATTTACAGCTAAAGAGAAATGAGTTATCAAACCATGAAAAGACATGGAGGAACTTTAAATTTAAGCATATTAGTGAGGAGGGAGGGATGAAGGGTAGAGCACCAAGGATTTTTAGGTCAGCGGAGCTCCTCTATATGATACTACAATGGTGGATACATAACAGCATACATCTATCAATACTATAGAACGTACAACACCAAGAGGGAACCCTAATGTAAACTACGGACTTAGGGTGATAATGTGTCAATGTGGATTCAGTTGTACCAAATGTACTGCTGTATGTGAGATGTTGATAGTGGGAGAAGCTAGGCATATTTGAGGACAGGGAGTATATGGAAATTCTCTGTACTTTCTGCACAATTTTTCTGTGAACCCCCAAAAATGCTCTCTAAAAATAACTTTATCAATTAAACAAAACAACCAACCGAAACAAAAATCCTGGCAACCTTACTGATCTAGTAATCTTAGCAAACTCAAAGAGGATGAACACAAAATCACACCCAACTATCTCATGATCAACCTGTTGAAAACCAAAGGTAAAGAGAAAATCTTAAAAGCCAAAGAAAAAAGACGTATTGCATGCAGGGGAACAACAAGAACCACAGCCAACTTCTCATGAGAAGTTGTAATTCTCTATGTCAGCCAGAAGACCATGCATGGAACAACATATTTAAAGTGCTAAAGGGAGGAAAACTGCCAAACTATCATTGTATATCCAATTGAAAATATCTTTCAAAAATTAAGGGAGGGGCGCCTGGTTGGCTCAGTTACTTAAGTGGTTGACTCTTGGTTTCGGCTCAGGTTGTGATCTCATGGGTTGTGAGACTGAGCCCCACATTGGGCTCCCCACTCAGCAAGGAGTCTGCTTGATGACTCGCTCCCTCTTCCCATCACCCCATGTGCTCGCTCTCTCTCAAATAAATAAATCTTTAAAAAGAAATTTAAAGGGCGCCTGGGTGGCTCAGTTGGTTAAGCGACTGCCTTCAGCTCAGGTCATGATCCTGGAGTCCTGGGATCGAGTCCCGCATTGGGCTCCCTGCTCAGCGGGGAGTCTGCTTCTCCCTCTGACCCTCCCCCCTCTCATGTGCTGTCTCTCATTCTCTCTCTCTCAAATAAATAAATAAAATCTTTTTAAAAAAAGTAAATAAATAAAATAAAAAGAAATTTAAGGTGAAATGAAGACAGTTTTAGATAAAAGCAGGGAGGATTTGTTGCCAGCAGACCCATACAGGCAGAGCTAAAGGACATTCTTTAGGCTGAAGACAAATGATACCAGATAGAATCTGGAGCTACAGGAAATCATTAGAAATGATAAATATATTGGTAGATGTGAAAGACTATTTTCCTAACTTCTTTCAAAGTCAACTGTTTAGAGCAATAACAACAATGCATTGTTGGGATTATAACAAATGCAGAAGTGAAATATATGACAGTGATAAAGCAAGGTTAGGAGGGGCAAATTATACAGTTGTAACATTCCTACTTATACATGAAGTGGTATAATATTAATTGAAGCAAATTGTGATAAGTCAAGGATGCATATTGTTATCCTGAGAGCAACTGTGAAAAAGTAACACAAAGTCACTGGAAGAGATAAAATGGGACTGTAAATAGTACTCAGTCTAAATGAAGACAGGAAAAAGGGGAAAAAATTAAAAAGATGGGGTAAATAGAACACAAATAGCAAGATGGTTGACAAATGGAACCGTATCAATAATTCTACATATCATTAAATGTAAATGAACTCAACAGTCAAGACGGTTTAAAAAATAAGTCTCAAGTATATGCTGTTTACCAGAGATATATTTTAAATAGAAAGACACGGTTGAAAGCAAAAGGGTTGAAAAAGATATACTATGCAAATGCTAAGTATAAGAAAGCTGGTGTGTTTATTTTAGTATCAAAGTAGAATACAGAACAAAGAGTATCACTAGAGAGAAAGATATTAATTTCATAAAGTTGACATTAAAATCCTGAACATGTATGCACCTAATAACTAAGCTTCAAAACACACTAAGGAAAAATTGACCAAACTAAAGGGAGAAATAGACAAATCTACAATCATAGGTGGAAAGATGGAGAGTGAAAGAGAGAAATATAGTGTCAGACAGAGACACAGAGGAAAGAGAGAGACAGAGAAACAGATACAGAGACAAAGAGTCCAAGTGAGGGAGAGGGATGTGACCTGATCCTAAGAGGTTGACAGGACCCAGAGACAAGGAAAGAGAGAGATGGGCCATGCCCTGGACAGGAGGGAGAGTCGGGTGCTCTGGTTGCAGTGCAAGGAGCCACAGCAGGGTCTGGACCTGTGGGATCCCGGAGGGGGTGCTGTAAGGGGGGCAGCATCACTCACCCGCTGCCCCATGGAGCCTTGGGGGCCAGGCTCCCCACGCAGTCCCTGTGTGGGAGGGAGGAGAGGTACGAAGTCAGCTATTGGGGGGTGTGATCCAGGGACCCCAGGACTCCCCAGAATCTTCCACCAAGGGTTGCCTCAGTACTCACTCTCTCTCCCTTCTCTCCTGGGTGGCCAGAGATTCCTTTGGGTCCAGTGGGGCCTGGAGGTCCCTGAGCAACAAGACAGAACCTCACTCTTGTGCTGAGGCAGGATGGGGTGGGCAGGGACTTGGTAGGGCAGAGAGGTCAAGGAGGGAGCCTCAGTTTGGCCTGGGCCTCTGGGTTCTTTATCACACTCCCAGTGCCTGGCACACAGCAGTGACTTTGTACAGCTCAGGGTTCAGAGTTATGGCCCTGGAGTCAGAGAGTCCCTGCCCTGATCCGGAAGTTGCCATGTGCTGGCAGCAGCCCTAGGTCAAGAACCTCTACCTTTCCTGGCCGCATGTGCTGACAATACTTGTTTCTCCTTACATGGACTGAATGAAAAGATTTATGGAAAGTAGTTTGCATATTAAGTGCTCCATAAATGTTTGAATGAATGAATGAAGGATGGATGGATGGATGGATGATGGATGGATGGATGGATGTGTGGACTGATTAAGTGGGTGGGTGGATGAATGGATGGACAGATGAATGAGAGCAACTGGAGAACTACCCACCATGTGTCCAGGACTCCCAGGGATGCCCATGGGACCAGGAAGTCCAGGGGGACCTGGAATAAGACAGGATGTCCTCAGGACTGAAACAAAGTACAATGCCAGGAAGTCCACCATCCGCTCCCTCCTGAGAGCCACAGTCCTAGTCCCTCTGCCATTTCCCAACCCTACCCCTTACCCTGGACCTGGACTCAACTTACCCATGGGCCCTGGGGGGCCTGGGAGTCCAGCTGGTCCCTGGGGCCAGTGGCTGCTGGTCTCAGTGAAGGTATTGGACAGTAATGGGTCCCCTGGGAGGAGGAAAGATGGTGAGTCAGCAGGGCTGGGCTGGAGTATGACAGTCAGTCTTTACCTGCCACCTCTGCGAAGCCAGCTGGGACTGCCCTGTGGGATAACCTGCAGTGTGGTTGGGGCTACCAGGCAACTGTTCCAAGGGTGGGGAGTGTGGAGAGTACTGGTCACACAGGACCAGGAGGCAGGGAGACCTGGGTTCTAACCTTACCACAGTCTAGCTGGTGACATCCTGCAAGACTCCACCTCGCTGAGCCTGAACTGCGATATGTCAAATGGGAATAATAGTAAAAGCTACTGTTTATTGACCACCTACTTTGTGCCGGGCTTCTGTGCATGGGGGTCATGGAGCTCTGGGAGAACTGTACAGTCAGTCTCCCCATTGTACAGATGAAGAAACTGAGGCTTGGGGAAGGAGAAGGAGTGGTGAGATGGAACGAACGGCAGGATGGGGGAATACAGGAATGGTGCCCAGCCATACACCAGAGATAGGGCACAGGTAGGATTGAATCTGGCCCTCCAAGCTCTGACCACTGGCAGCACGCACGTAGGTCAGGCTGGGGAGGAGGCAAAGGATACACGTCAGGACCCCACTGGGCGGGGGTGCGGGGGAGCTTTCTGAGCACAGGGCCAGGGAGCACAGAGCTCATTTCCTGCTGCCAGGCCTTGAGCTTTCCGGTGCTCTGAGGGCTGGATCCTGGCCAGCTCCGAGGCTTGGCAGGAGGGCCTCATGCCGGTGGTTCCAAGCACAGGCTCTGGAGGACGCCTGGGTTTGACGCCAGCCCCCCCACCCCCAAGTCCTGGCTATGTGATCTCCCCTCTCTGGCCCTCAGTTTTCCTCATCTGAGAAGAGGAGGACAATGGCATCTGTTGGGAGACTGGGTGACACGTAGCTGACCAAAGGCAAGCCTGGTAAACAGAAGGTACCTGGTAGATGGCAGCGGGACTGGGGTGATGGTTATGCCAACCTTGCCCCCACCCCACCATTATCCCTCGCGACCCCCGAAGGACTCACCATACTGGGGGTTCCGGGTGTGGGGTGGTCCAACAGGGGCTGGGGGCCCAGGGGGCCCCGGGGGCCCAGGAGGCCCGGGTGGGCCTGGAGGTCCCTTCTCTCCAGGGGTGCCCACAGCTCCAGCCTGGCCAGGGCTTCCTGGGGGGCCCTGAGGACCTACAATGGAACCAGGGAGTTGGTGGGCATCTAGGAGGCAGGCAGGCCCGGCGTGGCTGTAAGAGGGCAGGCCAAGGCAGCCTGGGGGCATGGGGTATAAGAGGGCTCGAGGCCACAGGCCCAGGCCTGTCCTGGCTCTGACCTCCTTGGCCATGTAGGGGGATGAACAACTCTCTTCAGGGGCTTTAGGACAATGGACACTTGGTGCACAGTAGATTCTTAGGAAATACTGATTTCCAGAATGTTCTCTTCTCTCCCTTCCAGGCTTCTGAATGAATTGTTCCCTCTATCAGTCCTCCCTTTGTTCTGCCTGGTGTCCCCTTCAAGTCATCCTTTATGCCTCAGCTAAGATGTTACTCCTACCAGGAAGCCCTCTCCACCCCTCACCCCATCCAGGCTGGGTCTACGCTTCCTTCCTTGGGCCTCCCGTACCTGCAACATCCCCCAGAAGAACCCTGGTCACATGGTGGGGGGCACTGCTGTTTCTCCACTGCCTGGGCCCCCCCTCCCCACTGGTCTGGGAGCTCCAGGAGGCAGGGACTGATCTGACCCCACCCCAGTGCCCAGCTCAGAGCCTGCTAGGGTAGGTGCCCCGGAAGCATGGGTCCAGTGAATGCAAAAGAGGGCTTCAGGGAGCCCAGGCGCAAGTGGAGGGGTGCTGAGCTGAGACACAAGTGGGTGGAAGGGGCCCAGGCTACCTTTGGCCAAGGAAGCGTTCACTGACAGGGCTGACCTGGATAGCTGGGGGTAGGGGCAGTGCTGTGGGCACTCACCTGGCGGGCCTCTCATCCCCACTGGGCCTTGGCTGCCAGTGTCTCCCTTGGGGCCAGTGGGCCCAGGAAGCCCCTGGCCACCAGCTCGATCTGGGGGAGAAAGTTCATCAGCTTGGCAGCGCTTGCCCGACCCTGGCCCCAGCCCCTCAGCCAGCCCTACCATCTCGAGGGAGCAATGGGGCCCTCATGTTCTCTCTGGCTCTGGGTAGCCCTGGGGCAGGGGGGTAGGCAGGGGTCAGTTTCATCCAGGGTCCCTGCCCCCAGGTCCACTGTGTGGGACAGGGGCAACGGGGCTGCCGGGCCCTGTCCCCTCAGGCCCACTGGAGAACTGGGGAGACCGAGGCCCAGAAGGAGGTCAAGCTGGGAGTCAGTAGCAGGGTGGGGACTGGAATCACTCCCTTGATTCATTCCCACATGGGAGCATGCCCCCTACTGACCCACTCACCTCGGAGGCCTTCATCCCCGGGGCTGCCCTGGGCAGCTGGGGAGCCCCAGAGTGGGACGGGGTCCCCGGGGGCAGCTGGGGTTGGGAGCACTGCCCGCTCAGTGACAGTGAGCACCGCCACCTGTGGAGGAAGAGGAAGACAGGGTAGGTCCCAGGGTCTCACCAGGGACAGGCCAGCTGTGGGGCCCCCGTGTTGGGTGCAGGAGGTCCCTGCACCCAGCAGAACCCAGCTTGGAGTGGAGACCCAGGGCTCAGAAATGACTGATTTTCAAACTGCACAATTCATCCTTAGGAAAGCCAATACACGTGGTCACTGCCACCCAAGTGGAGCTTTGGGTCGCTGTGTTTGCTGGGCTGTGCGGTTTTTCCCACACTGACCTGCATCAATAATCTGAAACTTCTCTTGGTCTCTTAAAGCACCACAGGCTGGAAGGATTTTTACTAAATTTGGAGGGAAGTTTGGGGGGGTCTGACATGAACTAGAGGCCCTGGGGTGTATACAAAACCACTTTGGGACCCAGTGTGGGGGAGCCTCTGAAAGGTCAGAGGTGTCTGCTGAGCCACTGACCGAGGATTAAACAGGGGCCAGAGGGGCCTGGGTGGCTCAGTTGGTCAAGCAACCGACCGTTGATTTCAGCTCAGGTTGTGATCTCAGGGTTGTGAGATCAAGCCCTTCAACGGGCTCCGCACTCAGCGCAGAGTCCGCTTGGGATTCTCTCTCTCCTCCCCCTCTGCCCCTCCTCTCCTGCTCACGTGCATTCTCTCTCTAAAATAAATAAATAAAATCTTAAAAAGGTGGGGGGCTGAATGCCCACTGACTGGGAGTGGGGGGGCCGTGTGGTCCCGTCCAGAGAACAGCTGAAACTCTTGGGCAGACCCTGAACGGAGAACCATGCCTCAGATCTGAGACTGAGGCCCTCATACCGGCTTCTCCCAGGAGGAAGTCCGGGGAGCAGTGTGGGCTTCCTGGAGCTCCCACAGCTCATAACCGGGGTTCTAGTACATGCTGTTCAGAAGCTTGGTTTTTTCCCTCTGACACATGTGACAAAATGGAGGTGTTGTGGATGACTGTCTGTCTGGTATTCCATCGAGCCATGCACACTAATTCCGCAACCACCCCTTCGGCCGTCTGGTTTCCAAATTTCCCTATCCATTATTAACATTTTGGTAAACATCTTCACATCGACTCTCCTTAAGATAAATTCCCAGAGTGACGGAGGAAAAGATATGCAGATTAAGTATATACATCTCTATGTGTGCTTAGAAAATCTGGAAGAAAAAATGCTTAAATGTTGACCGTTGCTCCCTCTGGGGACACAAGTGACTGCTGCAGATGGCTTTCTGGTAGGTTTTTCACAGTTCCGAGTTTTTCATGTTTCTAAATTTAGAATGTCTTACTTTTTTTTAAAGATTATTTTAGAGAGAGAGCAAGAGAGCGTGCGTGTGCTCGCATGAGCAAGAGGCAGGGGAGGGGCAGAGGGAGCAAATCTCAAGCAGACTCCCCACTGACTGTGGAGCCCAGTGCGGGGCTCCATCTCACAACCCCTAGATCATGACCTGAGCTGAAATGAAGAGTAGGCCGCTCAATCGACTGAGCCACCCAGGCGCCCCTAGAATGTCTTACTTTCTAATTGCTAAAACCTTTTTATCTTGAAATAACTTGAGATGCCCAAAGATGTTTTGCTTTGGAAACTGGGAAGATAGTATTATTATGGTGGTGTGGGTGTGGGGGGATAAAGGGCAAAAGTGACAGGGCAAGTAGGGGACCCGGCCATGGGCTCTGGGGGATGTCTGCAAATCTCTGGCTGGGATGGGGATGGGGCTGCACAGGGGACCTTCGTAGGCCTCCCCGGGGAAAGGAGCAGGCAGGCCATCTGATTCTGAGCAGGCTTCCTGGGGAAGGGCACGGAAGGGAGGCTAGCTTGTTCTGGAGGGGGGGTGGGCACCTGCTAGGGAGGCCACCTGCTCGTGGGTGTTAAAGCTCAGCTCAGCTGCACTGTGAGAATGATGAGCCGATGGGGTGTGGGGGTGTAGGGAGGGGGTGGGAGGGCCAGAGGAGGGGCAGCTGCTCACCCACCTTGGCCTCCAGCACCTTCAGCCGCTCGGTCAGCTCTGACACTTTGCTGCAGTTGAGGCAACCTGCAGGGAGGGAGGAGGCTGGGCCCAGGTGTCTTAGGTTCCCTGTGGAGCCCCTCAGCCCCGGGGTAGGGGGCAGAATAGAAGCAAGGGGACAGGCACCTGATGACCCCAACCCATGAGATGACCAGTGCAGGGAAAGGGCTATAGCCATGCCCTGAGGGTCTCCTTTGGCTCCAGAGCCTCCAGAGCAGAACCAGGGACCCACCTCCTGCAGCCTTGGCATCCAAGATGCCTCCTTCCCTGGAAGCCAGGGCAGGAAATCCTGTTGCTTCCCCCTGGGTGGGGCTGGCCTGGGCTTGCCGGCTTTGGGGACTGACACATCACAGCCTGGACTGCGCTGGCCTCAGAGGTGCCCCCCTCTGATCCCTCCCTCCACAGCCACCGGCCAGCTCCTCTGGCCTCCCCAGCGATACCCCTAAGTGATCCATAGCAGTTCTGGCCCGTTATGCAACCTCAACCTCCCAGCGGCCGCCTACTGGGACTAGTGCTTACAGGCTCGTCTCTCCACGATCCTGGGTGTTGGGACGAGTGTCACTCCAGTTCACATCTGAGGACACTGAGCTCAGAGCAAGGGTGCGGTGAGTCCTTAATGAGCACAAAGTCTGGGGTCGAGTCCCAGCGCTGCCCCTTCCTGGCTCTGGGCCTTGGGCAGGGCTGATCTCCTTTCTGACCCTCAGCTTCCTCCTCTTTAACATGGGGACAATGATGCCTTCCTGGGGCTGGGAGATTTAAATGAGTTGACAATGGAAAGCACCTGGCACAGTGCCTCACTCATTGCAGACGCTTAGAAAAGCATCGTTTCAATAAAAAGAGGAAACTGGGGGCTTGGGCCCGCGTCTGCCAGTCTGGGGGTCATGAGTCTTGGGGTGCTGGGCCCAGATCGGACTCCCTCTAGGGCCCTGGGGTGGGCACGCCCCCTAACCCTCCACTGGGGAACCCAGCCGGCTTCACATCACCACATTGCCTAGGCCCCCACCAGGCCTCCCCTAAACTGGAGGGACCCCAAGCAGCTGCCCTGGCACCCACCTGAGAAGGTTGTGGGCCGAAGCGCCATCCGTCGCATGGCGTTGCCCGACCATCTGGGCTCCACGAAGCCAGACGAGCCTGCAACTGAGGGACAATGGGGGTGAGGGCCCTGCCGGCCTACACCATTCTTGTTTCAGACCCCGCCCTGCCCATCTGCCACTGTCGCCCCAGCAGGGATCCCTACTCCCCTTAGCGCAGAGGGAGACAGAGGCCCAGAGAGGTGGGACAGTTTCCCGGGATCACACAGCATGAGCTGGGCTGAACTGGAACAAGACAGCCAACCTGATGGGGTTGGGGACAGCGGCGGGCAATGGGTGGGGGCCATGGTGAGGCTTCCCCAGGGACCCCGGCAAGCTGCATGGGTTAAGAACTTAGAGCTAACAATATGCAAGGCCAGGTCCCAGCCCTGCTACTCGCTGACCTGTACAACTTGTCCTCTTCGGACCCGCCTATTTTCCCATCCGTAAAATGGGGTCCTAAGGCCACTACATCTCCCAGGCTGGTGTGAGGCCCGCGGAAGGCGATGTGTGCGAAGCAGCGCACGGGGCACACAGCAGGCAGCTGGGACATCGCTGTCCACCCTCTCCCTGCCCCAATTGGTAAGAAGACACAGAAGTGGATCCAGCCCTGGTTTTAAATGAAAACCAGAGGGAGGCTGGCTGCCTGGGAGGGCAACGGGGGCTGTGTTCCAGGAGCCCACCCCTGCCACCACCCCTACGGAGAGCCGGCTGCCCTGGCCAGTCTGGCTTTGGGGGCCTGGTTTTCCCCACAGCCAAAGGGATGGGCTGGCCAAGCCAGGGGCGGGGGGCACAGCTGGAGGGGCTCCAGAGCCAGCGGTAGCAACCGCCCCCCTCCGCCCCCCAGGCCTGCCTTTTAAGGCCCCACAAGTGCCGTCCGGGGGGTTGGGCGGGGGGAGAAGACCCAAATAAGGCACTGGCCCGGCAGCTCAGAGCCAGGCTGTGGGTTAGTGCAGGGAGTGAGGCGCCGGGAACTCAAACCAGATGGGTGCCTCTGGCCAGCCCCCAGCAGGGAGGCCGCTAGACCCTGCTCACCATGGGGCCTTCGCTCAGACTGGGCCTGCATCCCCAGCACGCCCTCCCTGGGGACCTGTGACTTGCCCCAGAGCAGGGAGTGAATCTCACCCAGGACAGAGGAAGAGGCAGGTTGGCAGCCCAAGACTGGGTCAGGGATTGGGGACAGGTTGGGGGGGGGAGGGGGCATACCACTGTGAGCCATGGCCTATGTTAAGTGCTTTATATACCCAGCTCAATCCTACAGAGCAGGTAATAACAGCTAGCACTTAACTCTGGGCCGGGCACATTCCACTAAGCACTTCTCATATAGTCTTTTTTTTTTTTTTTTTAAAGATTTTATTCATTTATTTGAGAGAGAGAGAACACATGAGAGGGGGGAGGGTCAGAGGCAGAAGCAGGCTCCCCGCCGAGCAGGGAGCCCGATGCGGGACTCGATCCCGGGACTCCAGGATCATGACCTGAGCCGAAGGCAGTCGCCTAACCAACTGAGCCACCCAGGCCCTTCTCATATACAGTCTTAACTCATCATCCTCCCAAAGCCCTCTAAGTGAGTGCCAGTATCACCTCTACTTTACAGATGGGGAAACTGAGGCACAGAGCTCCTCATTTGTCTATGCTCAGACAAATGGATGAGTGAATAGGAATCTCTCTCCTGGGGGAAAACAAGAAGGCTGGAGCCTGGACTTGAACCCAGGTCGGCCTAACTCCGGGGCCTGACCTCTCTCTGAGCCAGCCTGCACCTTGAGTCAGCCCATCGCGCGGAGGCAGGGAGGCCTGGCACCAGTAGGAATGCTGGCTCCAGAGGAGAATGGGCTCCCCGAGCTCTCCTCACCCTCTTTGCTCCCAGGTGAAGACATAAAAGGCCATTTTATTACCCTTTGCAGGACGCCGAACAAAAGAAGCCACTGTCTCTCCAACCCCGTGGAAGTCTGGGCTTTTTCTGGGATGAAGTTTGGCAGAGCATCTGCCCAGCCCGCCCGCCCCCGCTACCCTGCTATTGTTTCCCTGTTTTTCCACGGCATTCCTCTAATGTGTCCTGTAACTGTGTCAGTTCCCAAGTCCGCTGCCCATCATCCGTCACCCCTGTCTGGCTGGAATGTGAGCCCCGCCAGGGCAGGGACCTAGCCTGGCCTGTGCATGGCCTGGAAAAGTGCCCGGTGCATAGTAGGGCCTCCGTGGCCTCAATACACCTTCTGTTCATGAAGGCATGAGTCGCCGGCTGAAAAACGAATGCAAAGCAAACAAAATAAAAGGCAAAATAATGTGGACAACAGACACAATGGTCTTAAAAATGAGCATAAATCTTCTAACATCACACGAGGGGTTCCCTGAGTTATTTATGCACTTGTGGTTGGAAATTCTTTTCATCCAATTTGCTTTCATGCATTTCACTGAGAGCCAGAGAGAACTAGAAAAGCTAATGAAAACATGGTCTGACCATCAGCATAGATGTAACTGGCTCAAAGTAATGGCAAGTTAAAATTTTAAAAGGAAGGAAGGAAGGAAAGAGGGAAGGAAGGAAGGAAGTTAGTTAAAGAAATAACAAAACTGTCCAAAAAAATCCCAGAATATGTTGGTTTTGGTTTCAGGATTCACAAAAACGATCCCCCAAACTCCTCCAAATTCTAAGAAATGGACAGAACTACTTTAACGGGCAAACCAGGTTGTAAAATGGCCCTTTAGCATAGCAAATCCCAGTAGGGAAAAGGCCGAGGGTTGGGGGGAGGTCTCCTGTTGTTCAAAAATATCACATCCTTCCCACTGGTGTTGGGCTAGGGCCCTTGGAGCAGACCCCAGTAGGCTGAAAGCCCCCCTCACCCCAGCCTGGTAGTCTGTCCCAAAGGGCTGCCCCTCAGCCCCAACCTCGCCCTCTCAGGGGCTCCAGGCTGGGTCTAGGATCACAAACCCCAGCCCTATTCTGGAAGCCTGACAGTGGGCTACTTTCCACCACCTGGGAGGTCTCCACCAGTAACACACACACACACACACACACACACAGCCTCCTATCCTCTTCCTGGCCGCGGTCAGTCCTATGTCACCTCCTCCAGGAAGTCTTCCCAGACAGACCAAGGTACCCACCAAAGCTCCCCCCTGAAGCTCTCATCACTCCATACTCCCTGTCTTGATCTGCACAAGGACGGCATCATGGACAGTTTTGAGCCCTGTGCCCCCACAAGCAGCTCCCCTTTCCTCTGCCCAGGACCAGGGTTAAGCTAAGAAGCCCCTTCTCATTGGGTCCTCATGAGAACATGAGGCCCAGAGAGGAGAGGCTACCTGTCGGCACAGCCAGGTGGGGCGGTGGGGATTCAAACCCCACGCTAAGCTGGGAACGCAGATGCGAGCAGTTGAGAGTGTCCCTGGGCTTCATCTCTGCCTTTCCCTCTCTGGACAGGCGCTGGGAGAGGGGCTTTCTCATGCACAAGCCACCCACAGGTCTGCCGCGTCCAGTGACCACAGCCACAGGGATGCTGCCTCCCCAGCCCCCAGCCAGGTGTCCTCCTGGGAAGTTACATTGCAAATGTAAATATTTGCTGCTGTTGGCCTGAACCAAGGATGGGGTCAGGGGTGGGGCTGGGAGCTCCGAGAACCTCCGGCAGGCTTCTGGGAAGCCTGTCTGTGTCTGGCCTGGCCCGCTCTTCAGGGTAAAATGAGGTTCCCATTCGTAGGTCAGGTACTGGAGAGACAGGAGCAGTGCTGGTAGGATGGGGGCCATGGTAGCCAGGTGGCAGCTCTAAGAAGGTCGCAGGCAGAGGGGACAGCTGCTGCCCGGGCTGTGGGGTGGGAGAGAGGGCCAGTGTGGGCCGGGGCTAAGATGGAGGGAGGGCAGGGCTGGAGCACATCACTGGGGCAGCCAGGAGGGTGGAGAGGGAGGCACCGGCTGGGGGTGGAGGATGGGCTGGCAGGAGTCAGGAGATGGGGGTCGCCAGGTCTTCTAGATGGGAGTGGAGTAGAGGGGTGGCAGACCTGGGCAGATTCCTGCAGCACTGAGCCCACAGGATCCTGAATTCTCAGAGCAAAGCATAAACCTGGCCCCGTAACTGGCATTTAGTTAGGGATGGAGAGGTGGTGAGGCCGCCCCAACCTCCCATCTGTTCTTCAGCTTTTCTGCTGTGTGACCTCGGGCAAACTTCTTCCCTCTCTGGTTCCCCATCACAGAAGACAAGGGCTGTGGGGGTCCCCAGATGGGGAAGGGACATGTGCGCTAAGGACAGTGGGGACACTGAGGGGCACACAGAGATCGCCTGACTCCAGGGGATCCCATGGGAGAGGAGGGGTAGGGAGCTCCTCTATCTTTCTGTCTGCGTGGGGTTGGGGCTGAGAAGCGCTTCCGCCAGTCTCATGATGCCCCAACTGTCTGAATGTCCTCCTCTGGGAGTCCCCGGCTGGTGCTGGTGCAGAGGAAAACTCCTGGCCCCGGGTCATACGGATGGACTCTGAATCTGGATGTGACCCCGAGCAAGGCATTTCCGTCTCCCAGCCTCGATCTCTACATCTGGACCTCCTGCACCGTGACACGACAGCATGACGCCCGTGAGTATGAGTCATGGTGCTGGGCACGGCAGACAGGGGATGCTTTCCTTCCCCTCGTCACTGTAACTGCGGGAGGGTCTGGGGGGGGGCGCGGTGGTGGATGCTACAGACCCCAGGTCAGAGCCCTGGCTCTACTCTGAGAATCCCAGCTGCAAAGCTTACTTGCGGTGTGACCTTGGATGAGACCTACGCCCTCTCAGCCTCACTTACGTCATCTGGACAACGGGGCTGATGGGTGAAAGATCTGTCTGCTGGGACTCCCCCCAAGGCAGGATCACAGGGAGGCCACAGAAGCCCTGTCCTCAGCAGGGCCCACCAGGGGGTCAGGACCAGCGGACGGAGTACCTTCTGGCCTTGGCCCTTCCTCAAATGTTTTCCAGTGGGAGTGGGCAGCCGGGTGAGACCTCAGTCTGTCTCCCTCCCTGCCGTCTAGTCCCCCCTTCCCAAGGGCTGGAGGCACTAACAGAGGCTTGGTCAGGCAGGTCCCAATCCTGGCTCTTCCCATGCTGAGTGACTCCAGTCAGCCCATTCACTTTCCTGAGCCTTGGTTTCCCCATTTGTAAAATGGGGCCCATTCCAGTCTTTTCCTCCCAGGTTGTCATGAACATCAGAGAACAGCCTCGCTCATCATCACAGAGTGAACATTCCCATTCTGCAGATGGGAAAGCCAGGGCTAAGAGCTGTGAATGAGTGAAGAATCTGGAGACTAGGGCCCTGGGAATGGGGGTGGGGAAGCATGGGGAGGCCTGTTTGCTGAGCAGCTGACTGAGAATTGTGGTCTCAGAGGTCACAGGCAGGATAATCCCAGAGAGCCATCACAGAATCCCCAGCACAGGGGCCTTTGGCTCATAATAAAGTACAAGGTGGGTACTTTCCCATCCAGGTGACTTCCAGATAGAGACAAGATTCAGAGAGGTGGAGTGACTTGCCCCAGGTCATACAGCAAAGCGCGGCTGATCTAGATCTGGATTCTGGAATGATGGGTGCTCCCTCTCCTCCTTCAGGCCACCCAGGCTGCTACGGTGACACAGCTCTGTGGCCCCAGGTCCATGTCCCAGTGCTGGGCAGACTATGAGGTCAGTCACCAGCAGGGGAAACAGCTGGGGGAGCTCAGGTTCAACCCAGCTGTCAGAGGAAGGGCAGGGCCTGGGATGGGCCTGCAATGTCCTCACAGTTCCCCACCCCCATTCCCAGGGCTCCTAGCAGAGCAGTTTTCCAGAATATCCAGGTCTGGGCATCCCTTTACTGAGCTCTGACTATATGGGTTTGGGAGAGGCCCCTCCTAGGCCCCTCCTGTCCCATCGATCATCACATTATGCCCACCCTGGGCAGTCACTCCACCTGCAGGGTCTTTACTGTTGCCTTTCATCCTTGAAACATCCCTGGGAGGCAGACTCTAGTATCCTGCCCGTTTCACAGTGAGAACACTGAGGCTTAGTGTGGGGGAGCCCCAGGCCCTGCAAGAGCACACAGCCGCTTGGTGCTCGTTAGAGAGGGTGCCCCTCCCTCTGAGCGGGCATGAGACGAGGGCCACCTGCACTGCAGCCTCCCCACCCCCCAGCCCAGTGCCCTTGCATGATGACTTGCACAAGACATGGGGAGTCCCCGGCCCAAGGCCGCACAGCTGGGGTGTAGCAGATCTGGCCTGGCCCCACAAGGCCCTGGATACTCCTGTCCCCAGGCTGGGATCGGAGGCCCTGCCGAGGTTGATGGCTGACGTGAGGGGCGGCCCAGCCCAGCCCCTGCCAGAGCCCTCAGCCTTGATCCTGGCTTCTGGATGCGCCGCCACCAGCTGCGGGACCCAAGGGCACAGGCTCTGCCCCCACCTGCCCCCACCCTCACCGGCTCCAAGATGGCCCCGTAGACCTGGGAAGGTCTGCCCTTGAGAGGGAAGCCAGGGACACAGTGGCCTTTGTCTGGGCAGGCCCTGCCTGGGCTCAGGCCTGCTTGGCCCAGGTGGCCCCCCCCACTCCGGGGATTCACCCTCCCCCCTCCTCCCCCAGCTCCTCTGTGGCCTCTTTGGCAGGAGCCCCTCCTGGCTGGCTCACCTCCTACCCCCTGGACCCTTCTGCCTGGCCCGCTTTCTCCCAGCAGGGAGGGGAGGGTCCCATTCCTGGTTCCCCGTCACTTCTGCCCTCCCACACTGGCCTGGTGGCCACCTCTCTCTACAGGACCCCTGCTGGGCATGGGCAGTCCCCCGCTCCCTCTGGCCATCCCACCAGAACTGGGGACTCTGCAGCCCCACAGGGGAACCTGCCAGGCCCCCTCCCCACCCCACTTTGTGGTGAGCTCTGCCCCGCACCCTGTGGGACTCTGGGCATGGAACTCCCTCCACCTCTCTGGGCCTCTGTTGCCCAGTCTGTGAACCAGGACTCTCATGGGGTCCCAGGGAGATGAAGCATGTAAGTCTTTCAAGAAGCACCTATGAATGGTGAACTCTCTTAACATTACGTTCTCCTGATCCAGAGGCCATGTCTCACATGTTCCTGTTTCTGGAATCAGAATAGGTCTTGCAACTGATGCTGCTCTGGGGGCCCCGAATGCCCCTTTCCACTGAGGTGCCTACAGGACAGGTTCTTGGGGCTGGTTCTAGCCTGGTCTGGAGGGCCATTCTGGGAACACGGCCCTTGGTGGGGTTCAGGTAGGCAGTGAGGGCAGGAGGCACCCAGACTGCTTAGCAGAGAGGCAGGTGCCCTTGAGGAGAGGGCTCTCCAGGTGAGCATGTGGCCAGGGTGTGGGGAGGCCCGGGCTGTGTCCTCCGCTCCACAGAGGTGTTGGGCGCTTGGCCCTGAGCCACACATGTGGCCTGCAGAGGAGGGGGCTGGGCTGAGAGTGTCCCCCGTACGTGGGACACGCACTACATGTGGTGCACCCGTCCCTCAGACCCTGACTGCCACTTAGCAATTGTACACCCGCCACCTTCCTGAGCCCGGGTTTCTTCACCCGCAAGACGGATACAAGCATCCCATCCGTGCCAACCTTGACCAAAGTGGTGCTTTGCTTCTGTGAGCTGTGAGCACATCCAACGGACACGTCCAGATGGGTTTTCCCCAAGCTTGGAGGAAAGACTGGGATGGTGTGACTCAAGATGTGAGCTCCACGGCATGTATGGAATTTCTCCAGAGGTCGTGAGAGCCCCCCAAGAGGCAGGCGGTCAACACCTGGGGGGCCAGCAGGCCCCAGCAGTGTCCGAGCCATGCCTCACTGGTGGGCCCTGGTATGCACGCTGCTGAGCGTGCGGCGCCCACCGACTTAGCAAGGGTTGACTGCTCCTGCCGCGCGCCCGAGGGAAGGCACCCGGCCTGCACCTCAGGGTGGTCCTACCTTCCTCACAGTTCACCCCTGAGTGCCCGGGGCAACACCTCCACTCACGCGCGGTCACCGTCTTGTACATCACCTTGTACGAGGGTCTCACCACGGTTCTGTAGCTGAAAGAAGGGCCCAGGGGACCGAACTCAGACAGAATCTTCTGCCGCCTTTTCCACTCACCTGGATGTCCATGGGGACAACGTCCGGGGTCCTCTGCCGCCTCTGGGCCCCTCTGGAGTCTCTCTCCTCCGGCATTCTGGGATTCAGCCCCTCCAATCCCTCCTAACCCCCCAGGTTGGGGGGGGAATCCAGATACTAACTGGACAGGGAGTCCCTGCAAGCTGGCCTGTCCCCAGAAGTGAAGCCTCACTAAGTGAATGCATGTGGGTAAATGGTGGAATCCTTCCCCCAGGAAGCCCTCCAGGTGCCCCAGGAGCAGAAGGGGAGGTGTTGAGATTAGGCATAGGACCACAGGCTTCTGTTCCACCAGGGTCTTGCTCACCTGCTCCCCGGGCAGCTCATGGGCCAGGGGCAATTCTGCAGCACTCGCTGAAGGTAGGTGCCATTTTGCACGTGGCATGAGATGGTCCGGGTCACCACATAGGAGCACCAGTTCCTGAAACAGACCCACAGTGAGGAAGCTCAGATGCCATGCACAGCCCCTGCCCAGGACCCCAGGGGGACAAGTGAAGAGGTCCAGTTTCTCTCCAAGAGCCCCGAGTCTCTACGTGGAGAGACCCCTGAGCTCTCAGAGTCCTTTGGGCCCCAGTGGGAGTCTCGGTGGCACTGTGGCTGAGGGGTGAATCCAGAGCTCTAGAGGGGGCAGCTGTGCTGGGGGCACTCGGAAGGTCTCGGGGAATGAGCTGCGGGGAACAGAATGATGGTTCCCTGCTCAGGATCCTGCAGTACTTTGCACCCCTGTCAGGCTGAATGAAGCTGGCGATTCATGTCTGCCCTCTCCCTCCCCTGGCATGACAGAAGAGAGGCCCTGTCTCTCTTCTCCTTGGGTCCCCCCTCTGTGGGACAGCCAGATGTTCCAAGCATGGAGGACTGACTTCTCCAAATGCCAATTAATAATCATAGTGCATCGCATATATTGAGCACCTACTGTATGATCCATAGTGCACTGCATATATTGAGCACCTACTGTATGCTAAGGGTATTTACATTCACCTTCTTGGTGAGCCAGGCAGGTACCTCCCCACATTTTACAGAGAGGTAAAATGAGGCCTAGGGAGGGGAAGACAACTGCTCCTGTCCCAGAGCTGACACATGGTAGAGCTGGATTTGCACCCAGGAATGTGGATGGCCCAGCTTGGGGGCCGACTCCATCCCAGAGACCTCAGCTCCTGTCTCTTGTCCTGGTTCTGTGAAGGTCCCAACCTGGGAACCTGCTGACCCCAGGCTCGAGGCCACAAAGGAAAAGTCTGGTGGGGTGGTGGGCTCAGGCCGCAAAGGGTCACCTAAAACAGTCCCTCCTTTCCCAGCCCCGGCAAAAAATGCAGGGCCGGTGACCCTGTGCAGGCTGAGGGCTGCTGAGCGCCTGGAATGTCTGGGCCATCACAGAGGCATCTGCCACCACCGAAATCCAGTCTCCCGGTTGCTGGCCCACCCAGAGGACCATGTCCTTGGCAGGGACCTGCCAATTAACTCATTGTGGGACGCTGGGGAAGTCCCCTCCCCATCCGGTCACCCTGGAATCAGTCCAGGAGGCAGGAACAGCCCCGCCAAAGGCAAAGCGTGGGAAGGGATGGCTCTGTTTAGACCAATGACCTGGTAGAAGCTCCACGCAGCCGGTGGCCAGCCAGCCCATGGGAGAGGTGACAGGGGCTTGTTGCAGCGCTGTTGGGAACGATGCAAGACCAGGAACAGCCTAAACAGCGGCAGGCCGACTAGACACGGAAAACCAGATGCTGAGCTAGAGCCCAAGTTCTCCCCGCGCAGACCACCGTGTCTGGTTAAGTGAAAAACTCAAGTGCAGACCAACAGGTGGAGAAAGATTGCGTTTCTACCCAAATAAGAAAGCCCAAAGACTACTTATACATACACGCACGTACATAGCTGTATGTGCATAAAGGTAGGAAAAATCACAGGCTCGCGGCAAATTGCCACCTCTGGGGGCAGAGACTCCGCTCTGTCTCCTGGACTAACTGTAGGCTGGACCCTCTGTCTACTTTCCACCAGGGCCGCAGGACCTCTTTCTAAAGCACAGACTTAATGCTGCCACTGCCTGCTGTGAGTCTGCAGTCCGCCATGGCTCCCCATTGCCCTGTGAGCCCAGACCACCCGGTCCTGCATGCTGTTCTCCTGCACCCTCCTGCTGTCCCTCTTCCAGCTTTCTGCGCTCCCTCCAAGTGCTGGCTCTCCCCCACCTCAGATGTTTGCATTCAGAGTCCCTCTGCCCGGAAAGCCCTTCCCTCGGCTCCAGCAAACTCCTGTTTGTCCGTTAGGTCTCAGTCTTAAGGTCCCAGGAGGGGTGGGGCACCTCCAGGGGTCCCCTTCAGCAGCCCTGAGCTTTTTTCCCTTCCCTGCAGATGCCGAGGGAGGGCACTGGCAGGGACCAAGCCACGACGGGGCTCAGCCTGAGGGTGCTCAGGGAACGTTTGCTGAATGACTGAATGACCAAGAACAGACAGTGGGCCTGGGCAGAGGAGCCAGGACCCAGGTTCCCAGAGATGTGTACAGTACTTGGAAGCCTGCCTACAATCCTGCTGCCCCTGGGGGCCCTGTCTCCCGGGACGTGGTCAGTGAGAAGGTACCCGAGAACCCTCGAGGCTGAGCCTGTGGGATGGGGCTAGGGCAGGGGCTGGGAGGAGGCACTTCCCTTCCGGGCTCGCCACTCGTGCCCACTCAGCACCTCCCGGGCCCCCAGAGGCTGCCGGAGAAGAGAAAACAGGCCAGCCCAGCTCAGCCTGGCACGGGCCGCCCCATAAGGCCCCCCACCCACTTGCCCTCCACCCCCTGCCACGGGGGCCCAGGGGACTTTGTCTCTGCGGGGCCCAAGGCTGCGATCCGGAACAGTGATAGGGGCTAATTGCCGGAGGCAGCCAAGCGGGCCAGGGGCCAAGGGCCGTTATGAAAAGAAGAGGAAAGAAAGGAGACGTACGAGGTGGGGGCGGGGTGATTAGAGCCAGAACCCCACTCTGAAGGCCAAGTTCCAGTCCTGGCCCTGCTGCTTCCTAACTCGGCGACCTTGGACAAGGCCCTGACCCTGTCGGCGCCTCACTCGGTCCATCTGCTGATGAGGACAGCAGAATCTCCTCTGACAGAGGAGATTTCACACACACCGCATAGCCCGGTGCTAACAGCTGTCGTTCTTGGACTGGGACGCGGACCCCACGCCCCACAGCTGGGGTCCATCGGCTTCCCGAGATACCCCAGCATGGCACGTTCCATGCAAGGTCCTTCCCTTGACTTTGGGATAGGGATTGCCAGGCTCTGCATTTTACAGGGGCGGACCCTGGGGTTCCAAGAGAAGTCACATGGCCGGGTCACCCATGTGGGCGCAGAGCTGGGGTTTGAGCTCCCGGGAGAGGAGCTGGGGAAGAGAATTCTCCCTTCTTGATTCTAGGACTTGCCCCAAGGAAGCCCATCCTGCAGGAGGAAGTGGCCTGGGCCAGGACACTGGTGACGGCTTCTACTCAAGAATCATAGCGCTGAGATGGGGTCATTAAAGGAAACAGGGATTCAGGAGGGAAGGGACCTCAGGGCAGGCAGGAAGCAGCCCCAGCGGGGATTGGGGGACCGACAGGGGGCAGGGGTGAGCCAAGGCAGCTCTGCACAGCCCCTGGGCACCCTGGTTCTGGGGGTCTCAAAGTCTTGCCACATTCCTAGGGCTGGGGCAGCCCCTTGGATGCCTTCCAGGGCCTCCCCCTCCCCAGGCACAAAGCCTCTTTTCTGCCTCTGATCCCTTGGCTGCCAAGGGGTGCCTGGGGTGCTGGGCTGGGGGTGGAGGGAGGGCTGGGGTGTGACGTCTCCATCAATGCTGGGACGTGGCCACCAGGGGAGGTCCTGGCAGCTGAGGACCACAGATTCCTCCAGCTAGGGGTCCCTTCCTCCACCTAATGTCAGTGATAGCAGGAACCACTGTTCGTCCTTCCTGTGGGGGTCCGTCCCCCCTCAGAACAGGCCAGTGGTTAGGGGGCAAGGGGAAGAAAGAGGGGACCTGCCTGAGGTCACACACTGAGTAAGCGCCAGAGCCAGGGCCAGAGCCCTGGACTCCTAACCACGAGCTGCAAACCGCTCCCAGACCCACAAGCTGACACCTTCTCTTTGGGTGCCAAGGACACTGGATTGGGAAACTGGCTGGCCTGGATTGAGGTGCCAGCCTCTCCCTCTCTGGGCCCCAGTCTGATCTGTAAAATGGGAAAAATGGCGTTGCCCACAGGGCTTTGGTGATGCTAGACCACTGTGAGACTTCCAGGACTACCAGCTACCTGCCCTGGGCGACCATCCTGCTCCGATCCAGGAAGCCCTGGGGGTGGGGGGCGGGCGGTGAGAAGCCCAGGCTGCGAGGCCCTGCCCTGGACTGGTTGGAGGGCTGTCTGGACCTTAAGCCCTCTCCACCATCATCCTGAGCCTGACCCTGGGAATTCAAGTTTAGGGTCTTGGTCATCTTGGCACCTAGGATCCTCGGGGTTCACATTCATACCCTGGGCCGGTCATATTCTCCCTCTGAGCCTCAGCTTTCTCCTCTATGAACGGGGGACCACCAAAATGCACGCCTCCCATGGCAGTTGGGAAGATTCTGGAGGTGGTGGGTGCAGGTAAAATGCCCAGCCCAGGTCAGCTGCGGTCAGCATACGGTAGGTGGTGGCGGCTGTGATATCCGCCACCTGCCTGTCCCTGCCTCAGATGCCTTGGCCACCTCTTCCCTCCAGCCCTAGCCATGTCACCTGCTCTTGCTAGCCCAGCAGGGGCATGCTGGCCCCTGACTATGGGGAAAGGGAATTTCTGAAAAGAATTAAAGAATTGAGGCCCTAGGGGGCGGGGGCCGGGAAAGGCCTTTGAATGGGATGAAAAGGCCTGAAGAGGCCTGGCTACTCAGCATTGTCTGCCTCAGACAAATGGCTGGCCTTCGAGAGGGGACCCCAGCAGGGGTGGGGGCTGCAGCCAGGACAGGGGACAGGTTCAAACACTGTTATCACGGCCAGAGAGACACAGATTCGAATCCCAGCACTTCTGTTAATGGCCCATGGGCCCAGAAGATTCTCTAGGGTCTCAGTTTGCTCATCTGCTAAATGGGGACAGTGCTTCCTACCTTACTCAGTCCTTGAAGGATTAATGACCACACTGCAAATAAGGGGCTCCTCCCTGAGGAGATGCTCCACAAACACCAACAGAGAATGTCCCCAGCTCCAGAAACAGCGGCAGGAACACAGAATGCCAGGTCCCTGGGGTGGCCACTGACCCACGGATCTGTGAAATTCCACCCCAGTCTTCTTCCTCCGAGGGAAATAAATAGCCGGGGTACTAAAAAAAGCCGAGGGCAGGGAAAAGGGAGCAGGGGTCCCCAAGGGTCAGCCAGGGGATGTGCTGGGCTTTTCCTCCGTGCAGGCAAGGGGGCCCTTGAGCTAGGGCGATGGAAGTCCCAGGAGGCGGGCTTCTCCCCCGTTGTTCCCTTCCCCCTCCTCTGGGGCTCTGGAGGTGAAGTGGTGGGGAGTGGAGGGGGCTGGAGGGGAATGCCGGCTCCGGACACACGGAGTCGGGGATCCCCGCACCGCCGGGAGCCTCCTCCAGATAGCGGGGCTGGCCCAGGTCCCTACTCGCATCTGGCTGGCACCGAAGTGGGGGCCAGGTCCCCTTCCCAATCCTTGGCTTGCACGGAGGTTGGGGGGACGTGGGGGGGGGGAGTGCCTGGAGTCCCGGCCCCGGGGCTGGCAGGGCACAGAGGTGGCGGGAGGCAACCCCTACCTGCGTCCGGAGAACGGGGCTCCCCCGACGCTCCACGCGGCGCCGCCTCCCGGGAGCAGAAGCCCGAGGCAGAGCAGCGCCCAGGCCCGCGGGCCGCCCATGCTGCGCCCGGCGCCCTCCGCGCGCGGCCCCTCGCCGTCGCCGCCCCCAGCCGGCCGTCCCCGCCCGCCCGCGCCGCCAGCCTCCCCCGACGCGCGGAGCCCGGTTCCCAGCGCGGCGGCGGGAGGGCGGGCGGGAGGCGGGCGCGGGGCGGGGGCGCGCGTTCCCGGCCTCGCCCGGCCCCGCGGCGCGGCCCCCCGCCCCCTGCGCCGCCGCTGCCAACCCGGAAGGAGCCCCGGGGGGTCGGGCGCCCCCTCCGGGAGGCCCGCCAGGTGCCCACCTGAGCTCGGCGCCCTTCGCCGCGTGACCCTTTGAGGGCCAGGGGCCCGGTTCGGAGGTGCCCTCTCACGTGCTGCAGGCGGGGGAGCTGAGCCCGGACCCAGAGCCGCCACGCCTGAACTAATGATGCCAGGGCCCTCATCCCCTCGCAACATTTTTGAGAGCGCCAGTTCCCAAGGCGCGCGGGATGCATCCATGCATGCAACGAAGGGCTTCCCGAGCAGTGAGCGCCACTGTGTGCGGGGCACCTCGCCTCCACTTCACATCCTGTCTCTGTTTAGCCTTCAAACCACTCTTGGCGCCGGTGGGCACAATCATTCCCATTATACAGAGAAGTAAACTGAGGCGCAGGCACTCGCGGCCGTCCCTGCCAGGAGAAGACCTGGGCTGGTCATTAGGTCAGTGTCCACCCTTACTGCCATTTTACCAATGGAGAAACTGAGGCACGGAGAGGCTCGGTCTGTCAGTGGTTGGAAGAGACGGGATTTGAACTCCTATCTTCTGACTTCAGAGAGGTCAGCTCTTTTTTATGGGGCAGGGGCAAGGGCAGAGGAAGAGGGAGACAGAATCTTAAGCAAACTCCATGCCCAGCACAGAGCCCGTGGCTGGGCTTGACCTCACAAGCTGAGATCATGACTTGAGCCACCGCCACCCACGTGCCCCGAAGAGGGGTCAGCTCTTAAGCACAATTAGGGAAGAGGGCAGATAGAATGTTTGTCTGGGCCTCAGTTTCCCCGTCTATAACAAGGTAAGGACTGGCTTAGAGTGGAGTTTCTTTATGTGGGGTACTTGGATGAGCTTCTGGGGAGAGAGGTGTGAATCCCTCAAAGGTGTATACAGGTGTGCGTGTGCACGATGTGTGCGTGTGATGGTACTTGTGAAACGTGTGTGATATGTGTGTGTGCAGGTATGATGGGTGTTTGTGGTAGGTGTGTGTGTTTATGGGGAGGAACCACACTATCATTAGAGGGGACCCCTCCAAAATCTCAGGACAGTCTCTAACCTCCTCTTCTGCCTGGATTGACACGCAGCAGGCAGTCCTGGGCTCGGGAGCCCCCTGCCCAGCTTGGCAGTGCACCAGGGGCCTGCCCTTCAGGATCCTGCTGTGGCTTGTCCAGACCCAGACCCAGGATCTCTGCTAGAAACACTCCAGCAGGATCTGCCAGCCCCTACCTCGGATTCCCAGGGACCGCCTCCCTGGGACTCACCAGGGCTGGGCAGGACGGGAGAGAGCATGCCAATATAGAGGGAGCTGCCCCCCCTCCAGCCAAGGGGGCAGGTAGCGAGAGCCAGGTTCAAACCCTAGCTCTGCTGCCTTTGTCCAAGCTAGCTTGGGCCAGTCCTGCCCCTCTCCAGCCTCAGTTTCTCTTTGTAAGGACAGCGGTGTGTTCCTTATGTGGGTGTGGCCATGAGATGTCATGGCCACGCCCTGGCATCCACTGTCCCCTGCATCATCTGGCCCCCCAAGCGTGCCCCTCTTCCTCTGAAGACATCATCACAGCATCAACTCTGCCCCCTTGGGGAGCTGCCTCCTTCTCTTCCATGTGCAGTTTGGGGGCACCTACTTTATGCCCTCTGTCTGACCTCCCAAAATGCAGCTTGGTGCCTCTCTGGTTAGCCCTTGTTTTTGCCACAACGAGATCAGTGACTTCATCCCCCGGATGACTGGTCACTCCCAAGGGGCCATCTCCTGAGCCCCATCAAGCCCTGGGTAAGTAGGCGGGATAAAAAAACCCCATCTCCTCAAAGGGCACCTTGGAGGGCATGCAGCTCTGTAGGAAGGAGAAGGGCTGGCCACTAGCTTCTGTCTGGCTTGGAGGGACTGCCAGATGTCCGGGACCCCCCGCTGGGTCCCGGGTGCCACGGGAAGCGGAGCCTGCCAGCTCTATTTCCTCCTGTGATTACCGGCATACACATTCCTTTACCAATGCCACCGAGCTCATGGGAGCTGCAGGCCACTGCAGGATTTCTCCAGCAAGAGAACCCTCTCTAAAAAGGGACGTCTCAACAAGGGATCCTCCCAGGAAAAGGTGTTATCCACATTTGGATGTCAGAGGGGGACCTGTCCTGGCTGAGTCTGGGATCCCCTGGGGTCTCCTATAACCTCTTGGTGGTGCTGCCTGGGGGTTCCCGCCTGGTGTCAGCCCCCCAAAAGCCTGGGTGTCAATTGAAGAGCAACCTGGTGTCAGCCCCCCAAAAGCCTGGGTGTCAATTCCAGAGCTGTGTGACCTAGGACAAGTCACCTCCCCTCTCTGACTCTCATTTCCCTGCCTAAAAGAACAAGCCGTTGGACCTTTTTAAGATCCCTCTGGCTCAGGAGTTAGCTTCTGGGAAAGTGTGAAAGCTTTGGGTCTCCATGTGGTGGTCCTGGGGCATGGCCTTTTGAAAGCCCCCTCTTTTTTTTTTTTTTTAAAGATTTTATTTATTTTTTGACAGAGAGAGAGAGACAGCGAGAGAGGGAACACAAGCAGGGGGAGTGGGAGAGGGAGAAGCAGGCATCCCGCTGAGCAAGGAGCCCGATGCGGGGCTCGATCCCAGGATCCTGGGATCATGACCTGAGCCGAAGGCAGACGCTTAACGACTGAGCCACCCAGGCGCCCCGAAAGCCCCCTCTTTAAGCACAGTTTCCTGGGAAATGTCATCCTGTTTTCTGGTCCTCTTTCCTCCCTGCACAGGAAGGGCAGGAAATGCTGCGGGGACCTGGGGCTTGGTCATTTGAGGTTGCAGCGTTTGCTGAGGCAGAGAGGAGAGGGGCCTGTTGGCTCGAGGTCTTGGGCCTGTCCCTGTGGGCCTCCTCCCTCAGGGCCCGGTGCTATCTGCTGCCAAGACCAGACCAGTAAGACAGCAGCTTCCGTTCCCCAGCACTGACCGCGTGCCAGGTGCTGTGCTAAGCATTTTGCTTGCATTGTCTCCCGCCCTCCTCTCTGTCCCCAGGGAGGCTGCCTTCGTATCCCTAGGTGTGCGGCTCGCCTGAGGCCGGCGGGGGAGCAAGAGGTGCCGGCCTACACCGCCAGGCCACACGGGCACCCTCTGGCCGAGCCCCACAGGGGGGCTTCTTTAGGGAAGAAGAGAACTTGGCTCAGATTTAGACGCCCGTCTGGAAGCTGATGAGGTGAGAGAAAACACATAGGCACACACACGTGTGTGGACCACACAGGGACATGGACTCTCTCTCTCTCTCTCTCTCTCTCTCTCACACACACACACACACACACACACACACACCCCTCCTGGAGCAGGCCTTGGGGTCCAGGAAACACAGCCCTTCTGTTGTGGATTCACCCACATGTCCACTCGCCTAGTCCAAACAGGAAATGCTGTTCTCCTAGCAAACAAACGTGGGCTGCAGGCTCCTTCCCCATGCACCCCCAATGGACACTATGCTGAGGGGCCCTTTCCTCTGCCTGTGTCCCACAGGACAGCCTCCCTGGCTCAGGGATGCCTCTGTGATCATCAGCCCTGTTTGCATACCGGCTGGGCTGAGCCCGGGAGCCCCACCTGATCTGTACACACATCGTCCCGATTCTGGAGGTGAGGAAGCAGCTCAAGGGGGTGGGGGGCCAAGGGGTGCCCACACAACCATGGCAGCAGCCCCGAGGGGCCCAGGCCTCCTGGCCCAGGCAGTGCCTGGGTGTCATGAAAGGGAAGGGGCCGGGTAAATGTCAGTGGCCTTCAAAGCTCTGCCCAGACAAAGGGTAGGGCCGGAGGGCTAGGCCTTCCCCAAGCCTTTCCAGGTTGGGGAACAATGCCTGCTTTCTGTGCCTTTGATCTGGAGGCCTGGCCCTGTTGCCCCTCCAACCCAGAGCAGGGGACACCCTGCTGGGCCAGGGCGGGGGGCGCTGGGGGCCCCTCCAAGAGCCTGCAGCTGCCTGGACAAGTTATTTATGCTCCATGGAGCTGCCCTTCTCGCCCAGCTCATTCCTTCTTCACAGAGCTGGGTCTGCAGCTAGAAGGGAACGGTAGGAAGGAAGCTGTCAGAAAATCATGAATTAGCCCTGCAAGAGGGCCTTCTGCCGTCCTCAGCAATCCTCGAGAGGAGAGGCCTGCACCTTTGGGAGTGGGGGCAAGACAACAGAGTGGCAGGACCGGGCACCTGGATTTGGAGTCAGGAGACCTGGATGTTCTGTGTGATCTAGAGGGGGTCCCTTCTCTCTGGGCCTCAGTCCTCCCATCTGGAAAGTGGGGATGATACAAGACTTGGGGACTCTCCTGTGACTGTGTTTTGTTGACTGTGAAGGGATGGACAAATGAGAGGCCTTCTGCTTAACATTTGTCCCACTTCCCATCCCCTGGTACCTTCCCCCAAATCCCCCCTCCTTTCTCCTTTCTGTCTTCCACCTCTGTCCCATCTGCCTCCCCGTGAGGTCCCTTATTCTGTTTCTCTTTTCACACCTGTCCTCCTACAAAAATGGGTTAATGAGGTCTCCTTAGGCAGCATCCACCTAGCTGGGGTGGGGGGGCAGGTAGAAGGAGGAGCTGTGAGCTCCTTCACACTAGAGTGTCAATAACTAATATGTTGAATATTGTTAAATGTTGGAGGGCAGTTTACAGAGATTCTTCCTCATTTAAGTCCTAAATCACTGGTAGTGGAACTTCTAGGCTGGTAAGGGGGATGTCTGGTGACCAAAGGTCTAGGAACGAGGTCTGCCAAGTGAGAGGGCCTTCTGTGTGGGAAAGTGTCTATCTCCCAGTCACAGTGAAGTGAAGTCCCCCCCCCCCCCCGCCCCGGATACATGTGGAGTGGTGGCCATAAGTCTCTGTGGTTAGCTGGGTCTGGCA